CAATTTTGAACCAGTCCACTGTTCCATGTTGAGTTCTAACTCTTCCTTCCTGACCTGCCTACAGGTTTCTCAGGAGGAAAACAAGATGGTCTCGTTTTGCCATCTCTTTAAGAATTTTCCACAGTTTGTTGTGATCCACACAGTCAAAGGCTTTATAACATGGTCAATGAGGCAGACATAAATGTTTTTCTGGAGTTCTCTTGCTTTTTCTATGATCCAACAGAAGTTTGCCATTTGATCTCTTGTTCTTCTGCCTTTTCTAAATCCAACCTATACACCTGGAATTTCTTGGTTAACATACTGTTGAAGCCTAGCTTGAAGGATTTTAAGCATTTTGAGCATTACCTTGCTAGCATGTGACATGAGCATAATTGTTCAGTAGTTTGACCATTCTTTGCCATTTCCCTTCTTTGGGATCGGAATGAAAACTGACCTTTTCCAGTTCTGTAGCCACAGCTGAGTTTTCCAAATTGGCTGGCTTATTGAGTGCAGCACTTTAACAGCATCACATTTTAAGATTTAAATAACTCAGCTGGAATTCAATCACCTCCACTAGCTTTGTTTGTAGTGATGCTTCGTGAGGCCCACTTGACTTCGAATTCCAGGAAGTCTGGCTCTAGGTGACTGATCACACCGTCGTGATTATCTGGGTCATTAAGACATTTTCTGTATAGGTCTTCTTTGTATTCTTGCCACCTCTTCTTAATCTCTTCTGCTCTGTTAGGTCCTTACCATTTCTGCATTTCATGTTTTAATACAATAGAGCTAAGATATACTGAAAGGCAAGGCTGATCTTATTGCAGGTGATCCACACATCTTGAACTGAGATCCCAAGGAACTCATGAAAGTTCTCTTCCAAATTTAGACAGCAGTTAAAGTTCCACCTATTCGTTTTTTGCCTGTAATTGTTTGCTTGAGCCTGGTAAAAACACTGCTTTCATTCTTAGCAGAAACTTTACAAATCTAAGTGATGAATATGCTCATTACTCTCTGTCATAGGCTGAATTGTGCGCCCCCCTACAAATTCACATGTTGAGGCCCTAAGCCCAGCAGTTCAGAATGTGCTTCTGCTTGAAGATAGGGAGTTTAAAAGGATAATTAAGGTTAAATAAGGTCATATGAGTGGGCCCTAATTCATTCTGACTGTGGTTCTTATAAGAAGAGGAAGTTTTGAGAAATAAAGGGACGCAGGTTTGGGCATGCACAGGGAAGGTGCCATATGAAGATTCAGGATTAAGACCACCATCTACAAGCCAAGAAGAGAGGCTTGAGGAGAAACCTGACCTGCTGACACTTTAATCTTGGACTGCCAGCATTCAGAACTGTCAGAAATTGAATTTCTGGAGCTTTCTTGGTAGCTTAATAGTACAGAACCTGCCTGCTAATGCAGAAGACACAGGTTTGATCGCTAATCTGAGAAGATCCCACATACTGAGAAGCAACTACCCCATACACCACAACTGTTGAGTCTGTGCTCTAGAACCCATGGGCTGAAACAGTTGTAGGCTGTGTGCCCTAGAACCCATGCTCTGCAACAAGAGAAGCCACCACAATTAGAAGCTTGTGCACTACAACTAGAGAGTAACTGCAGCTCACCACAACTAGAGAAAAGCCTGTGCAGCAACAAACACCCAGCACAGCCAAAATAAATTTTAAAAATTATTTTTAACAACAGAAAATGAATTTCTGTTGTGCATGCTACCCAGTCTGTGACACTTTGTTCTGGCAGCCCTAGCAAACCAATACCTGTTTCTTCTTTTGGATCTTTGCCTCTTCTTAGTGATGTAACTCCAGAAAATGGGGATCTGCTTGAAGGAAATGGGAGAAAACTATACTTTGGGAGATACATGTTTGCCTAAAAACTCTGTCTCCTGGCTTAATATTTGGGAGTTTTTCTGAGGAAGACCTCTGTGGCAGATCCTGCCCATTTCCCCTCTCCCTCATGGCGATGGCACATACCAGCCAGACATTAAACTGCCAGCATCTCAGCAGTGGCTTGGAGGATTATTCCTAATGCCTGAAACCTACTTTGTCAGTGCTCAAGGCAGACTGGAAATGTCAGAGAATTGATGCTTCATGACCCATAGCAACTGGAGTATAAATACCCCAGCTCCCTCATCCTCAACCATGATAACCCAGATAACTCTCCATAGGCTTGTGGAGTTCTCCAGCAGGATAAAGCTCCCTTAATCTTTCTTGAAATGCACCTTTTCTTGGCTCCCTTCCTATCTCTAGGGAAACTCTCCATCCTTCCTCTGCAAAGCACATCTCCAAAGGGAACAACTTGCTCTAGAATTTTTATTTTAGGCTGTGATTCTGGTGGACCCAAAACTAGGTCCATCTGCCTTCTAGCTACCTGTGTGTGCATAGGAAACATCTATAGTTAAAGATGTTGCTGTGGTTTCTAATTTAACGAGATGAGATACTGCATTGGGGCTTTCCTGGTGGCTCAGTGGTAAAGAATCTGACTGCCAATGCAGGAGACTCGGGCCCAGGCCCTAGGTCAGGAAGAACCCCTGGTAAAGCAAATAGCAACCCATTCCAGTATTCTTTCCTGGAGGATTCCTTGGATACAGGAGCCTGTTAGGCTACAGTCCATGGGGTCATGAAAGAGTTAGACACGTCTTAGTGAGTAAACAACAACATTCCATCAAATTCTTTCCGTGGTAAAGTAGTGGCTCATCAACTGATGAACACTAGGGCCTCTTCTAGCAGCAAAGGGTGTTCTAAAGTCCTGCCTTGTGGAAATGCCTTTGCGTCAAATCAACTATGCTGCATTTTTTTTTTTCTTCTATAAACCCTAAAGCCCAATCTTTTCAATACTTGTGAGCTTTTTTTAAAAATTTTTAAATAGAAGGATAATTGTTTTGCAGCATTTTGTGGTTTTCTGTCATACATCAACAAGAATCAGCCATAGGTACACCCATGTCCCCTCCCTCCTGACCTCCCTTACATCTCCCTTCTCATCCCACCCTTCAGTCTGTTGCAGAGACCCTGTTTGAGTTTGCTGAGTCATACAGCAAATTCCCATTGACTATCTATTTTACATGTGGTCTTGTAAATTTCTATGTTACTCTTTCCATGCATCTCACCCTCCCCCTCTTCTCCTCCCACTGTGTCCTCATTGGCTTTGCTTAGCCTGTGCTCTTGCATCACATCTCCATGATGGGTAAGTGTGTTTGTATCAGGGTGGGTTGGCTTTAGTAAGTTGTCTTAGGCCTGAACCACATCTTCCCTTATGCGGCTGCTCTAGTACCTGCTGTGATGTTTTCATGGTCCATGGGGATGCAGTTGCGGCGGGGGTGGGGGGGGGCGGGGTTGCTTCTGCATAGGAGTCCAAGTGACTATGAGAGAAACAGACTTCTGAGGAACAAAGCAAGCTGCCCTAGGTGTGCAGTAAATCTTCTGCTAAGCCCTCTGACCCTAAGCCCTTTCTCGTTACTCTCAGGCTGCTGTTGAGCATCTCAGAGTTTGAGGTCTTCTCATTGACTACTCAGAACAATGCTATGGATGGTCCACACTGAGTAACTTTCAACCTTCTAGGCTCCCCTACCCCCGTGAAAACTATTTATAGCCAGGCCCACAGTTCTCAAATGAGGAGCCCTGGGACAAGGCTGTGGATGAATATGTTAGCCATGCCTCACCTGACCGTGCATGTAACCTCTGCAGCTGGTTTGCTGACAGGATCACTTGTCTTTGCCCCGAGAGGAAAGGTTTTGTCAAAGAAGCTATTTCTCTGTCACAACTTTTGTGAACCTGTTCTTATTAGTGCATTAATCCTAACAAGTATTGCTGGCTTAGAGGATTTATGTAAGTCAGCCAGGGATATATCATCATAGTGTTTAATCACCTTCATTGCCATGTGATCTTCAGCTCACAGTGGTTAAGCAGTTGTTTAAAGGGCCATGAGTGTCTCACTCCATGCATCCCTGCCAAATTATTTACCTTCTGCTCATTGACTGGTAGAAAGGATCCCAGGCTTGCCCAGTTTCCACCATTCAGTTTCTCAGCCAACCCAACCCCTTCCTCCTGGGCATCTCCTAATCTCAACTGTGTGGGTGGAATCCCGGAGCAAGAAGGGACTGCAAGCAGTCCTACCTCTGGAAGCAAAAGGTGACTTCTTGGTGGCCAGTGGAGAAAACACTTTTCCACCTGCTTGTCTGGGTGTCTTCACCTGCACAAGGACCAGAGGAACAGGGAGAAAACCACCAGTGACAAAACAGCAGTGTTGGACAACAAGCCACCACAGTCTTCTCCTGGCCAGGGGCCACAGACCACGGGGACCCAGGAGGGCCCAAATGATGAGAAACACAAGTGCAGGTTTGCTCAGGGTGGGTTCTGCTTATAACAGCAGCTGGCCTGTCCTCACATGGCTGGGACAGGGACCCCATGATACCTCAGGCCTCAGCATAGAAAGCCATCCCCCAGGAGTCTTGGTGATTTACAGCCCAGGAGAACCACGCAGCTAACAAGAGGTGACAACTCCTCCCTTCACACTGCCACTCTGGAAGGATCCAAGGGCCACCACAGTCAGTCAGCTGTCCTCCATGCACTCATGGTTGGGCCCCACCAGGAGAGGAGATGCAGACAAGCACCTGAGCCCTACATGGTCAGGCCCAGGTTGTGGCAGCTCACAGCAGCCCACCATTGGAGGGGTGTCCAGACACCAGGCTGCGACCCACTGAACTTGTTCAACTGTTTAGTTTGTGAGATCGAGGAGCGGGGATTGAGGTCTGGAGTGCGCCTTGCGACCCCATAGCCATGGTGAGAGGACTTCAGTGAGTTGACTCTCGTGCATTCTAGGCTCTCCCAGCTCAAGACCAACTGACGAATCCTTGGGACTGGCCCTGTGTACCCTTGCTCCTTGACCCCCTAAGCCTAGAAACCCCAGCCCCTGGGGTTCTCCTGAAGTGACTGCAAAGTCAGAGTTAACTGGGTCTCTCATATCAGTGCCTAGGTGACCCTAAGTCTGGCAACCTGCACCCCTCTGGTGGTCCCACCTCCTTGGGTGGGTTCATCATTGCAGAGCCCGAGGTCCCTTTGGGAGGGGCTGGGGTTGTTCCTGTGTCAGTTTGCTGTGGTCCTTCCCCTGGGGACCCAAACCATCCCCGTTACTTGGTGCCAGATCTGAAAACTGGCTTTGCGGCCGAACCTGGATGAGGGATTGTGACCTGTTTACTGGGGCGTCTGCCCTTGGCTTCAGTGTCATTTTGGACTGTACCTTGGTTGGTTGCCCATCCATCAAGCCCCCAGGAGGCCACGTTGTATTGACCACATGCCCTGCTCTGTGGGTCCAGCCTCCTGGTGGGCGGCCGTCCTCGTCGTGGCCCCTGGTTCCTCAAGGCTCAGTGTGACCCTGCGGCCTATGCTGTAGTCCCTGGGCAGTGAGGATGGGGATTGGGGGGTGTCATCCGTCTCCTCCTCATGTGACCTGGTGAGCCCAGCCTGTGTTGCACAGTGTCTTTGCTCTGCTTGGCGGCCGGACAGTAAGTGACCAGCTCTTCCTGTGGTTCCTGGGCTCTTGTGCAGGTAGTGCTGTGAGTCCTGCCACAGATTAGGGCAGCCAACTCCCCTGCTTCCGGGATGTAGGGCACCTGTGAGGGAGGACTCCAGTGCCATTTGCTCTCTCGGCGGTTTGACTGGGGGGGCACCAGCTCTTTATGGGGTGAGGGGCTGGGCTGCTGCCACAGGCTCAGAAGTTCAGAGATGTCTGAAATGTCCCAGTCTTCTGGGACCTGCCTCTTGGTCTCCCTGGCCCTCGTATCAGGGATGCAGGTTTTCCGAAGAGGACTTCTGATGCCAGCAGGTCAGGCCTGCCTTAGTGGAAAATTCGGTGTCTTTAAGGTTCAGACACTCCTGTCGAATCATGAGCCCATGTAGGTCCACTGCCTGAAGCTTTCTCAGCTACCAGGAAAACCCTGGGAAACCACCCCCCACCTTAGTTCTCACTATTCTTCATCCTAGGCTAGTCATCCCCCTGTGGACAGCAAAGCAAAGAAGTCACTTCCCTCTATGCCTCCCATGTTCCACATGCCTGGATCTTCTCACTTGCTAGGAAATGCCTCTCCCCTTGCCAGCCCAGCAAAAGTTGTAGGAGCTGGGCTGTGGCCTTGAGTCCAGGGCTGAGTGTACACTGACTATCCCCAGGCTGGGTCCTCATAAGCCATGGGGCAGGGGATGTCAACCCTGTACCAAGACCTCATCTCGCCACCTCTCCTCAGACCATGCCAGTGCCAGCCTTCTCAGGATGGCTCCTTCATGAGGCTGTTCCTGTGGGTGGGAGGAGGGTAGTTGGTGCCATAGGCTGGCTGGGGACTTACCACCAAGGACTGGGAGCAGACAGGAGTGGGTGGGGCATCCCTCTACCTGCGATGTTGACCTGATAGTTCGTGCCAGCCCATCAGGAAGTGCAGAGCATAGACAGTCATTGGAGGTGCCACACTGGGCCCCAGTGGTCAGGCCCTCACAGTGCCTGAGGCCTCGTGATTGCTATTGACCGAGTGGGAGAACTGAAACCAGGAACTGGTGCCTGAGTGGTGGCTGTGTGTACACACAGAACACCAAGTGCCTTTGCCCAGGTGGCACTGTGCTCTGCCCTGCATGCAGGCTGGAAGGAGGGGTTCTTGGTGTCTTTTGCATCAGGCAACTGCTGGGTGGGGCAGGAGAACTGCTTCCAGTGTTCTGGCCACCCGGCCATCTGCTAGTTGTGGTGTAAGCACAGCCTGATTGGAGAGGGCAGGTCTGGGTACCAGAACTCACAAGACAAGTGCATTCAACTCCAAGGACATCCATCCTACAAGAGGCTCCTCCACCGCGCAGGGCATCAGGTGTCCACTCGCCCCTGAATCACTCAGGGCTGGGGGGTGGGGAGGCTGGAGTGCATCTTGCTGGCAGACCTGTCAAGCTCAGAGCCTGAAACAAGGCAGAGGTTGGGGAGCATGAAGCGTGGGAAAGCAAACACTGACTCCCATCAAGGGACCGTGGAGGCCTTTTTAATGGGAGGGCCGTCTGGGCTGGGTCTTGTAATGAAGAGGGTCTCCTTGGCTGGGAAATTGGAGAAGGGCCCCCAGAAGTGTCAGACCCTTGGAGGGAACTGAGCCCAGGTGTGTAGCTGGAGCAAGGTCATGGGAAAGGCCTGGGTTACTATACTGGGTCAAACTCAGACGTGACTCTTAGGGCATCTGACCTGTGCCCTGCGTACAGTTGCTCGGTGCCCTCACTTGCAGTTTTAAAGGTAAGCCATTGCTTCTCTCCCTGAGAATTCATTGATTCAGTCATTTAGTAAGTCAGTGACTGGAAAAAAAAAAAAAAAAACAACTTTGTGTGCCTCCCATACACAGGGTCAGGCAACAAGTGGTCAAGAGGGACACGCAGGTGAGTCAGGCAATGACCAGCATGGTTCTTTCCAGGATGAGCGGCCCTGGCAGCTGGTGCTTATCCTCACTGAACTAAACAAGGGCACTGTCTTCTTCAGGCTGACTTCTCCTGGCTTGTGTGGAGGTTTCCTATTCTTCCTGACTCCAGAATGAGGTTTAGAGTGATGACATTAGGTCTTTATGTTCTGAGAGTTATTGCTGGGATAGAGGGTGAGGTGGTTAGATAGCATCACCAACTCAATGGATGTGAATTTGAGCAAACTCTGGGAGATGGTGAAGGACAGGGAAGCCTAGCATGCTGCGGTCCATGGGGTCACAAAGAGTCACAAACGACTTGGTGACTGAACACACACAGAGGTGAAGGTGTTGAGCCCAGATTCTCCTGGCCCCCAGAAGAAGGTTGATTTGCCCTCTGTGGCACTCAGGGTCCCCCAGGCTGAGCAGAGTGGCTGCTGCTGATGCATTGTGCAGAGAAAGAAGATGTGGTACAGGTTTCCCCAGACCAACTCCCCGGCAGCATGAACCATGGTAGCTTCAAGTGCCAGGGGGAGTATAGCAGTGTGGGCCCCTCGCTTACTGCCTTTGAAGGAATAGTGCAGGCAGTGAAGACAAGACGATATGGGAGGCTGGCCTTGGCCTGCTGTATTTCCCAACTAGAGTGTTTTTTAAATGACACTTGGAGGAGGCTTTAGGAAAGGGACCAGCTTGGTGTCTGAAATGACACTAGAGTTTGACAGTAATGTGTTGCTTTCTCATTGTGCCATTTGCTGGCCCACTCTTCCAACTTCACATTTTTTTTTTTTTTTTTAACTGAAATATAGTTAGGGCTTCCCTCATAGCTCAGTTGGTAAAGAATCTGCCTGCAATGCAGGAACCCCAGTTCGATTCCTGGGTGGGAAAGATCCCCTGGAGAATGGAAAGGCTACCCACTCCAGTATTTTGGCCTGGAGAATTCCATGAACTGTATACTGCATGGTTCACAGGGTTGCAAAGATTCTTACATGACTGAATGACATTCACTCATATTCACATAGTTGATTAACAATGTTGTGTCTGTCTTGTCTATAGCAAGTTGATTCACTTTATATATATATATATATAACACTTCCAGATTCTTTTCCATTATAGGTTATTGCAGATATTGAGCATAGTTTCCTGTTCTTTACAGTAGGACCTTATTTATGCATTTTATACATTTTTGTTCAGTCGCTCAGTTTTGTCTGACTTTGTGACCCCATGGACTGTAGCACACCAGGCTTCCCTGACTTTCACTGTCTCCCAGAGTTTGCTGAAACTCCTGTCCATTGAGTCGATGATTCCATCCAATCATCTCACCCTCTAGCACCATTTTCTCCTTCTTTCTTCAGTCTTTCCAAACATCAGGGTCTTTTCTAGTAAGTTGGCTCTTCACATCAGGTGGTCAAAATATTGGAGCTTCAGCTTTAGCATCAGTCCTTCCAATGAATATTCAGGCTTGATTTCTTTGTAATTGACTGACTTGGTCTCCTTGCTGTCCACAGGACTATCAAGAGTCTTCTCCAGCATGACAGTAGTACTATTTTATACATAGTAGTGTGCATCTGTTAATCGCAAAGTCCTAATTTATCCCTTCTCCTTCTTTTTCACTTTGGTAACCAAAATTTCTTCTCTGAGTCTGTTTCTGCTTTGCAAATAATTTCATTTGTACCATCATTTTAGATTCCATCAATAAGTGATATCACAGAATATTTGTCTTTCTCTTTCTGACATACTCCACTTAGTATGATAACCCCTAGGTTGACACATGTTTCCACAAATGGTATTACTTCATTATTTTTCAGGGCTGAGATGTATTCCTCTGTGTGTGTGTATGTGTGTGTGTGTGTGTACCACATCTTCTTTATCCATTTATCTGTTGATGGACATTTACATTTTTTACATATCTTGGCTATTGTAAATATTGCTGCAATGAACATTGGGATGCATGCATCTTTTCAGAGTAGAGTTTTGCCTTTTCCAGGTGTATATTCAGGAGTGGGATTGCTGGATCATGTGGTACTTCTATTTGTAGTTGTTTAAGGAACCTCCATACTGTTCTTCATACTGAGTATACCAGTTTACTTTTGCACCAACTGTGTACAGGGTTCCCTTTTCTCTGCAACCTCTCCAGCATTTATTCTTTGTAGTTTTTTGATGATGGCCATTCTTTCCAGTGTAAGGTGATACTTCATTGGAGTTTTGATTTGCATTTGTCTAGTAATTAGGAATGTTGAGGCATCTTTTCATGTGCCTTTTGTCCATCTATGTCTTTGGAGAAATGTCTATTCAGGTGTTCTGACCATTGTTTGATTGGATTGTCTTTTTTTTTTGCAGCTTAAGTTTTCATTAAAGGCGGTTAGTAATAAGAGCTTCCATGGCAAAAAGCTGCAGGCAGTGCTTGGTGGGTATGAATATAAAAATGAGGCGCTAAGCCTAATATGTCAATACATTGTAAAATATTTCGTTTCCCTTTCCTCCCCTGACCATTTCTGCCTTCTTAATCTTTCTAACTTTCGCAAGGCATGGAGATGTCAGATACATAGCAATGGATATTAAAATGAATTCTTAACTCTCATTTCCACAAAGATATAAGAACCAAATTTGCATGTTCCTTGCCTTGCACT